TTTAATTTGTTTCAAAAATTCATTAGCAAAACCAGGTAGAAATATGTCAAAATGAACTACAGTCCTTTAAGCTGAATGTTTTTTTTCCAGTGTTAGTTTACTGAAAGTTTTCAATGTGCACATTGAAGTCAAAGGATATAGAGAGAAAATAACTGTGTTAAATTAGTCAGAATCAACATATAAATACATGTCCCACCACCAAATATTTCCAGTAAAAGTAGCAAAGAATAATGCCAACATACCTGACTTAACAGTTTCTGGCAGTGGAGAATAATGAAAACCAAAATTATAAGGGTGAAAAATATTTGAAGGTTAAATAGTTTGCTTTTTCTCCAATAATGTTCTAGCTTACCTATTATCATATACGATGATATAAAAGGAATTGGATTTGATATTAAAAATCTAAACCTCATAATTTGTTTTTAAATAATGACATATTTCAATGATAAATACTGTCAGACAAAAATACTATTCATATTCCTTAATCCAATATATAAATGAACTATAGATAATATGGATGTACAGTAGTGTAATGTTATTAGTATGAAAAGTAAAATCACCAAGCAGAGTTCAAATTCTGCTTGATTCCGATTCATTCACTTTGTACTAATGCCCTTTGAAAAGGCATGAATCTATCTTTCTCTAGTTATGGATTAAATGTGAAGAGAGACTGGCTCCCTTGCCTTGGTAAGGAGAATGAAAACAAAATTAAAAAGTTGAGAAGGGCAGTTTGGAGATTTGTAGCTCACTGAACATCATTTCTGTTACCTATTGTTTCCAAAGTATAGCTGATCCTAGACAAGCCTTCAGCATAATAATCAAATCATCTGGATGAGTAAGCAGTTTAGTTCTAAAACTGAACTGTTTGGTTCTCATATATGTCAAAAATGACAGAAAAGTATATTATATATATAATGATAAAAATATAGTTTTAAGGTATGCTATATTTATGGAAAATGTGCTCAATATCAGGGATAGAGCATGTGTAAATATAAAAGTGGACACTGAGGTCAATACCATGTAGCGACATTGTTTCATGCAATCTTCAGGCCATGGAGATTGCATTCAACCATGAAAGACTGTCACCACTCAGTGTTCACACATACAGTCAACAATGAAATTATTTGCACACCCATCAATTTTGAATATTTTTATCCATTTCTCAGAATCTAATGCCTGTATGATACCAGGTTTTCTATATGTTAATAAGCACAAAAAAAAAAAAAAAAAGAGAAATATAAAATTCAATTTTCAGAACAATAGATTAAATATAGCAAATTTGGCAGGCGAATTATGCAAAATAGGAAAAGACGAGATTATTTGTACAGTATGAAAAATAAAAAAAATTGAACAATTTTCACAATGTTAATAGTTAATAGCATGGCCTCTCATCTTTATATCTTGCTGCAATCGTTTTCTAAAGTTTTTGATGAGATTTAAACAAGTCTTTTCTGGGATTTTCTTCCATTCTTCAATGGTTACACATTCTAATTCCTGAAGTTTTGGTGACCGATGATTTATTTGAACTTTCAACTTTTGCCATAGATTTTCAATAGAATTCAAGTCAGGACTCATTGAAGGCAATGGCAGAAGTGTGATCTACTTTTTCTGAAGCCATGTAGTCATTGGTTGAGATGTATGTTTGAGATCTTGCTGGATTGTAAATCACTGATCTCAATGGAAGATTTTGCGCTGACAGTTGTAGATTTTCATCCAGAATTTTGATATAGTCTGCAAATTTCATTATTCCTCTTATTGCAATTAATTGTCCAGTACTCCTTGAGCTAAAACAACCCCAAAACATCATCGAGCTGCCTCCATATTTTAATATTGCCACCGTGTTCTTTGGGAGGGAAGATTCAAGTTTCTTGCACCAAATCTTCTGTACATTATTATGTCCAAAAAGCTCAATTTTTGTTTCATCACTCCATAGTACTTGTTCCCAAAATCAATTTTCTTTGTCTAAGAATGTTTTGGCAAAATTAAACTGAGCAACAATGTGATATGGTTTGTAAAGAGGGGTTCATTTCCTGGTTGGTTTCCATACCACCCATTTCTATTTAAACAATGTTATATTGTGAGAGTACTTACGCTGATACCCATTGTATCCAAACTTTTGTCAATGTCTTTCAAAACAACTTTTGGGTTTATATTAACCTTGTGAAATTGTTTTCTTGCAGTTTGCAGTGACAATTTGAGTTTTCTTCCACACACAAGCATCTGTCATGCCAAACTGTTTAAACTTCTTTATAACAGACTGTACTGTAGATCTAGGGATAGCTAACCAGTTTGAAGTAATGCTGTAACTATTTCCCAACTTGTGGAAGTTAATAATTCTCTGTCTCAAGTCAATGCTAAGCTCCTTTGTCTTCTCCATCATGTTGTTAACATAAGAATAACAATGGTGACACTCTATGCACCATATGATGTTCTTTGCTGGAATTATCACAAATTTTCTACTGAATATATAGTCTAGAAGGTGTCACTGATAAAATAATTATGTAAATTATTAATACTTACATGAATCAATCAATTTAAAACGATATTTTCTACTGTACAAATAATTTTTGTTGCTTTTTGTTCTTATTTTTCCTTTTCATGTGCTTTGCATATATAAAACCTGTCATACATTATTAGATTATGAGAAATGGATACAAATTTAAAATTGATGGGTGTACCTATTGTTCTATAAAATTTACGGAAAACCCCAAATTACTTATAGTCTATTTCTGGCCTATTATCTTCAGCTCTTAAGTGTTTGTCTGGAAATTCAATATCAAGAAATAAGGGGCTTGTGTTGGTGACTGGGTGGGGATAAATCTGGGGTTTATTTATGACTAGAGCTGTAACTAAATTTTCCTTATTAATATGGAGTGCTCTGTATTCCTGGGATTTACAGTAAATAGTATTTAGACTATAAGGGTTTAATGTTATTAATAAGTTATGGGGGGGATTTAGTCTTAAGACCAATTAATTTTAGATAAATCAGTGCACAATGGAATAGATCATGCTATCAACACACATACACCCACATGTATCCACATATTGAGGTCTCTGTTGATAAGTTTTAATATTTGTTATAACTAGGATCCACCTGGATTATATGCCAACAGATCTATTACCTGTATTATACAATTTTATTTTTAAAATAATATTCCATCGCACTTACTATAAACATTCAATTCAATTATAGAAATTTTCTGTTTCTTTTCCAATTTTGTCCTTTTTTTTTTTACTACTTTATAATAATAATAATATTATGTGTATGCTATTTTAATTATTAAATCTAGGCTCTACTCAAACAGTGTTCAAACAGTGTTTTATAAAAAATACTAAAAAACTTTTGGATCATCAATCAACAGTTCTTTCCTAAATCAATATATTTAACGCACACACACACACACATATATATAAGAAATTGAATACTGAAAAAATAAATGCTTGAACATTATTCAGGCCTATTATCAGATATAAATTCAAAAAGAAAAGAAAAGGCTGTCTGAAGATTGTGTGCTTATGCACACATGAATCTTTAAGACAGTAGCACTCTTTTTATAAATAATATTTGCACTGCTATAAATCATTGAGCACTTTTTGTTTCTCCAATGTCCTTTTTTTTTCTCTTTAGTGGCTATTTTAATTATTAAATAAAATACGCACACACAAAGAAATACACTTAAGATTAAGAAAAATAAACACACACAAAAAGTGATTAACTCCTACCTAGCTTAGAATTTATTATATAAATGAATGAAAAATGATTATTTCAAGCCGAGTAGAGAATTATTCAGAGCTTACATAATTGATACAGATACAGGTTACGTTATTTTGAATTAAGTCATTCTAGATTATATGTCATTTGTCAAAAAAATATATGGAAAAATAAAAATCAAGTTTAAGTCATTTTATTGGACTTTATGTCTGTCCGCCACAAATGTTGAAATTGTAATATTACTAGAAAAGCGTTATTTTATAATGTCTTAGAGCAAACCTCATTCACAAATAAAGAGTTTATGATGTACTGTAAAGATCACCAAATTGTAAACATCTACATTTACAGTATGTACGTACATGTAGATTACTTTTTTTCTGTACTATATTAAAAACTAAAATGTATTTGTTTGTAAGCTTAAAATAGATTCTTATTGACCATATACTATTAAAAATGCATTTATAAATAAAATACAGAACTGGGGATGGTTATTTTTGGTTTAGCCTAGTGACAAGTAAATTTGGAAACAATTAAATTTGACTTAAGTCACCTCTCCTGGAACAAATTACCGACATAAGATAAGGTATACTTGTATATCATTTTATTTAATAGAGGCTTACAATTTTTAAAACAAATATCACTTTATAATTCCTAAAATCAAATTCTCAGAAGAAAATATTCTTTAAGAGATGGAATATTAATCAACTTTAAGCCAAGCTTGGCACAAAACCATAAGGTTTTTGACTACTCAGCAATGATCAAATTCACTATTAGTCACTAATAAAACCATATGTACAAATGATTTTATGTAAATGAAATTGCAAAATGAGAAAAAGCCATTTGTCTTTCTTTTTTTTTTTCAAAAATATAAATTAAATTTAAAAATAAACATTAAATCAATCATCTTGAGTGATTCTTCCACAGGCAAAAAAGCAACATGTTACACTATAAAATGAAGTCTTACCAACTTTTTTTAATGCATGATAGACAACAAGCAGTTTAAAATTATTTCAGATTTTTCTTAAACATACATTCAGTTATAAGTAATTTCTTAAATATATGTAGAATCAAGATTAAGGTCTTGTAATTTAACAATAGAGTTGAAATCAATATATTTCAATAGGATATGCTCATCACCAAATCTAAAAGACAATGGGTGAAGAATTTAACTTTTACAATAATTGTTTAATATATACAAACTACTGCAGAAACAGTAACATCAAAATGTTTTCATATGCATATTATTTCACAAACTGAATTCATTCAACAACTGCAAAAGTGAACTTACTTTGAAATGTTTACGGAGATCATTAATCGTGATAAAACCTTTATTGTCACAATCCAAAGATTTGAATTTGACTACATGTTCATTGATCTCTTCCTTTGTGAAGTTGATTGGAACATTAGTTGAAGCACTTCGTAGATCTAAGCCCATCTCACGCCGGAGGAACTGCTTACAATGGTCAATATTGGCCTATGAATAAGATGAAGAAAAAGGATCATTCAAAAGCAATTATATTACTTGACTTTATGTTTCTAATCTATGAAATAAGGTTTCATTTTCTTATTCTAATATTATTAATTATATTTTCTGAAGAAATATTCATTATTAAACGAAAGACTAAGAAATCTTAATATATAATTCTTTTATGTGCTATGTCCCTTCAGGGTTTGAACAATCATGATTCCACAACTTTCTATCTTTTGTCCTAAATAACTTTTGACTCTTTACTAACTATTTTTTGTCCCTGTTATGCCATTTATTCACTCAAACTTGTTAAGTAGCTCACTCACCATTTCCCTTCTGTTTCTCTTGCCTTTAATATGTCAGCGTTATATTTTCCAAGCCTTCTTTCCTCATGTCCCAGAAATTTCAGCTGTTTCTAATTGTAAGTAAAAGTTTCCTTACAGTTCCTCTTTCCCTTAAAACTTCCTCGTTGATCATATGTTCTGCTCATAGTATTCTCAATCCTCTGAATTTGTCAGTAGAATCATATCTATTACTTCAAGTGTTTTTCACTGATCAGGAAACTGTCTAGCATTCACTGCCAGATAGATTAGATTTAACATAGTAGTTCAGCACTCTTTTTTTTGTTTCTAATGATATTGTCCTATCTCTTAATATGTGGCTTAGTTTCTGGCAGCCAACCTTTGCTCTTTATATATGACTGTATTTCTATCAGATTTTCTATTGTCTCTTACTACTGAGATAGTTCAGTTTCTGCACCTGCTTGTTTTGGCCATCACAACATGTATCTTAGGTTGTCTCTTTTGCTAACCATGCATAGTCTTCTTACAGTTAATAGTTAATCTTTTCTTTTTGCTTTCCTTTACTACCTAATAATTCTGATGATTTCCCTACTCGTTTCTCTAATAATTATGATCAACATGCTTCAGTAGTTTATTTGTTCCTTACCTCCTCTCCTAGTTCTTGTCAAGCATCACAACCACCCACTTGGCAATTCAGATCACACTGTAGTATCAGTTGATATTTCTTTTGAGTTGTCTATTAGACAGGAACCTCCTATTTACAAGACTTCTTTCTGTTACCAGTGTACTGATTGGGATTCATTTTGTAACTTTCTTCAAGACACTACTTGGATTGATATTATTAATCTTCTTATTGAGAATTGTGCCACAGTGGTTTCTTCGTAGGTTAAAGATGGCATCAATGCTTTTGTTCCTTCTCAGGAAATACCAGGTGAAACCACAATATTCTCCTTGGCTCCCACTTGCCTGATAAGCCAGTAAAGCCCACAGGAATCACTTTTTCTGACTGTACCAGCATGATAGTTCCAAACACAACAGATACCTATTTGTGTCTGCTTATAGTAATTGTAAACATCCTCAAAGATGCTAACTCTTTACTGACAGAATGAGGCATTGTATAGCCTCTAACAAATTGATTCTCATGACTACTGCCAGCTCTCTAATAGTGTGTTAAATGAGTATAAGTCCCTCCTCTTGCTTTCCAGTCAACTTTAATCTTCAAAGATTTAAATGCAATGTCAATCATTATCTTTCCTGTTCTTTTATAATTTTCTCTTTGATATTGTTTTTTCTCAATCTCTCACTCTGTAACCCCTTGCATCTTAGTGCATATTGCTTTGCTTGAGGTGAAATGATTAAAAAAAAAAAAAAAAAAAACCTCACAAATTCTTACAATTTTCCATCCTAGTTTGCTATCAGCACAGTGTCATAAATGTTAAGATTATATCCACTGATAATAAATCCTGGTCGACTTGAAATTATTAAATACCTTTTTTTGTTCTTTTGTCCATTTCAGTTCTTCAGCCATAATGTCTACAATTCTGGGCAGAGCTTCTTCAGCAGCTGTGGCATTACAAAAGGAAAGTCGTGTACGCCGAGCTAATATATCCACAGCAGAGCAGGCATATTCTCGGATGGCATAGCGTACCTAGAATAAACACAGAAGATAACTTTAAAATATTGAAAGAATTGCATTTTTTTTTGTCCATTATGTAAATTCTGTTGCTTTTCAAATAATGAAACTTAGAGACCAAATGTAGTGACATTTTCCTTTACAGGCATTTAGGAATTACAAATTGTAAATACTAAAATCAAATGCAACAATTTAAATATCTGGGAAGTGCTTTAACAGAAGACGAAAAGTGTAACCCTGAAATATGAAGGCATATTGGGAGAGAGAAAGTTGCCTTCCAAAAGGCTAAGCAAAGTATTAAGAAACAAGAAAATTTCATTGGAAATAAAGAATTGACTATTGAACTGTTATGCAATACCAGCTTTCCTATATGGCAGTGAATGCTGGGCCATATCTGCACAGATAAAGAAACTTGAGGCAACAAAAATGTGTCTCTACAGAAGGATGCAGGAGTCTGAGAATACCAGGGACTGAACATGTGAAAACAACAAAGTTTTAGATAAAATGGAAACAAAAAGGAGACTTATACTTAACATTAAAAAATGTTAAAATTTCTAGGGCACATAATGAGGGCTTGGAAAGGTTGATACTCACAGGATATATTGCAGGCAAGAGAGACAGAGGAAAACTAGTCTAGGTAGCATAGCAAAGAGCTCATCCAAACAATTACCATAAAGTATTTATAGAAAAGACACAGAGAGGCACCTTTACGGTGATGCGAAAGTAACAGAAGCCAAGCCACCAGATCAAGACTAATAATATTGCTGATTCATCTTTGGATTTTATCAAGGGGCTCAAGGTAAATAGCAGGGACACCAGACCATATCTGGCAGCAATATTCTAAGCATGGACCAATGGTAGACATAGATATGTATGATCATTTTTCACTCCAGAATCTGTCTCACACAACATAGGGAACTAACTTTCTTAGAAGTTGACCTAGCAATGAATCCAATATATTCTTTCTACTTCATGTCAGCTGAGACATTAGGCCGAGAAGGTGCAACGAGTCACTTTCCTGGAGGTTAGCATCAGCCATACTGATGAAAGGCAGAGAAGGAACTTTAGTTTTGGAGGCATTAAAATTAACAAGTCATCTTTTGCCCCAGTTAACAGACTTAGTTGTTTTAGACATTGGCTGCCATTTTGACCTTGTCGGACTGATCAGTCTTATTATCAAGGCAGGAGTAAATGGTTATGTCATCTGCATAAATACCAAGTTGAGAGCTGATGTCATTGGGAAGGTCATTAATGAAAATTAAAAACAAAGTAAGACCATAGACAGATCCCTGGGTGACACCTGTATTAGCACAAAAGGATCTTGATGAGTGGACATTCAGGATAACTTTCATTTCATGAATTGATAGGAAAGACTGGATCAATTCAAAACTGTGTTCAGAGACACCATAACTTCAACTTGTGGAGAAGACCTGTCAAAGGCTTTCGAGATATCCAAAGCTACAGCCTGGGCTTCACCGTTTTTATCTACATCATGATAGACTCTTTCCACAATTATCAGTACATCTATTTCATTATGCATGCTGATCTTAGTATATTTCTCATTAAGCTATTCATCTCTTGCTTGCTTGCATTTATTTCTTATACTTTTGTTTAATATCATACTTTGCATTATTTTCTGGGTGTTATTATGGATTATTTCATTAGATCAAGAACTTCACCAGTCACCCGCTTTCTTCCTTTGGGACAACTTCTTTTACTGTTGTCACTAGTAATGATAATATTAGCTGTTTCCTTATAAGGAAACATTTAGTATTCATTGACCAAGCAGCCACTGTTACTTTTGGTTGAAATTTACAAAATCTTTCCCTTAAAACAATTTTTCAGGAAAATAGGTTTCAAGTCCACTTTTATTGCTCTTTCCAATATTGATAGGGGCTTCCTTCCTAACCTTTTGTTTGAAATAGTGTGGAACATGAACATATTGACTGTCATTATTTTCTCTTCTGGTTACATGTATTATCCATTTTAGTTGTTGAAAGTAATCAAGTGATGTGGTTTTTGTTATTTGGTACAGCTCTTTATGATTCTGTAACACCTGTCTGCAAAGTTCAAAGAAGAATGGTCTTCTCTAAGAGCTACAATCTTCATTTGCTCAGAGCCATTTTTAACCATTGAACTGAGAAAGCAGTTGTATACAGCAGTTTAGATATTTCTGAACAAATTTGGTGTCATGCAGTTCATCAATATGCTTCTCTTAATGAATTCCATTTTGAATTTCTGACTTGTTCCAAAGTGTTTTTTTTTTGTTCTTAAATGCAACTGTATATAGTTGCTTGCAGATGGAATTACTATGAAGTGTCATATTTCAGTTTAAGTTTTGATTTAAGAATCTTTAATTTTTGTAATTTTTTTAGCAGTTTAGCATACATTTTACAACTTGCAAAGAAGCCTTCAAATATCCAACATTTCAAAATGTTTTTTGGCAGAAACTGAAGGAGTTATTTATATAAAAATTCATTCTATTTCTATAAAATTAAAATGTTAAAACTACTAAATAATTTATGAAAAATCATTTTCATTTGAAAATTCCTAGATAAGCCTCATTTTTTTTTCAAAGAGTGGAAGAATCCAATATTAACAGAAAGCATAAGATTGTCATTAATTTACACAATACATTCAGAAAACACCAAAATATTGACAAAAATATGAACATAACACTAATATGATTTAATACAAAATTCCAATGATAGTTACCTCGGCTTCAATGTAAGGGTATTCTTCATGCAATCTACGTCCAACAATTGGCCACCTTTTGCCAGTCATTGAAGCCATTTTAGCTACCTTAAAGGCTCTATCGCCATAGGTAGAAGCAAGATGTTGTGCCACCTGTCAGTTACAAGCAGAAAATGATATTCTAAAATTATACCACATTTATATGTTATACTTTTATAAATACAAATGTTTGTTATTTTTGTCATTACTTTTGAAGAGAGTTAAGGACAAGCTTTAAAAAAAATTTACTTTTTCAATAAAATTATGTTCTTAAGAATATTCTTTTAAGATTATTTATATCTATATAATGATATGTAATACTTCAGGTAATAGAACTTTGTTCAGAGTATGTGTTATGTTTATCAACAAGAGTATGTTTTGTTATTTTCAAGTTAAAAAAAGAGTAATAAGAATATTACAAAATCATTGCCATTGTATATTTAAAATTGTTTTAACTTATATTTTTCTGATACTGCCTTGACCAAAAAATTAAACAATTTTAAGTATACATTAAAACAATTACATAATAGAAAATAAAAATTCTTACACAATTGTGATACGCATTGTTCTATACTAATCTTATTTACATCCTATCCATGAAGCTCACCTCATTTTCCAGTCCAAAATCTTGCACAAGACGAATGAAAAGGGTTGGTGACCATTCATGTGCACCATCTAAGAGGAGACCTTTAGTGCAACAGGCTTTGTTTTTGGGTTGCAAATTACACACCTCAATTGCTTTATCAACTGTTTCTTCAGCCATGTGTCTGTATGTTGTCCATTTGCCACCTGAAAAATAAGATCTCTTATAACACCTTCAAATATTTCAAAAATCAAGATATAACTTTCCAAAGATGATATGCCATTTCAAGATCTCTATTTTTTGAAGGTAAAGTTACTTCTTACCTAGAATGTGAAGTTGTTATATATTATAGAGAAATTACAATTTATAAAAGATACATGAATATACAATCATATACATGTATCAATCAGAGAGTCTTAATCAAGGATGTTAATGATAGGAGAATAAGTTCTTATCAAAGATAAAGAAGTATCATTATGATATACATATTTATTCAAACTGGTCTCCTCATCTTGGCTATTATAATCATCAGGAGTAAAAACCATTTGTATTATCTGCAGGGCCCAAAAATTAGAATTAAAACAAATTAACTTTAAATGTATTTCAGTCAATGAAATATTTCTGATAACTAAATTTCTATGCTTATTTTATATTCAATAATTAGTTTCAATAATGCTAATAAAATTCAGGTAAAAGTTAGGTAGTCAATGTACGAAGACTAATGGTTAGTGGCTCAGAATAAGAATTCAACAAGCCAAGTTCAAATTCCAATTGAGTTCATTAAATTCACTTTCAGGCAAATACCCTTGGGAAAGGTATGAATCCAACTCTTCTCCCACCAGCTATGGGTTAAATAGTAGGGTATACTGGACTATTCAGTCTCAGTTGGCAACCAGTCTAGGAGAAAGACAACTCTGAATTCAAAACCAGTTGGGCATGAAGTTAGCAACTTTATCCCATAAAAATGTACTTTCCACAGCAACAACATTAAGTGAGTTGATAGTTATGACACCCCCCTACTCCTCAGTGGAATCTACAAGACATGAGAGAGTGAGTAAATTAATGTATAAAATATTAATTACTTCAAACAAATAACTTAATAAACAAATATTCTTTTTTTAAATCCCTGTATTTTTATAGCACATCTGTTCCACTTATAAACAAAATAGTAAAATTTAACAAACCTGCAATAGTGATAAGGTTTTCTTTAGACACTTCTATGATGTGATTCCGAGCCAAAGACTGAGTGTCCTTTTTAGTGGGGTCACTAACCAGAGGTCGAATACCACTCCAAGCAGATAGCACATCACCTCGACGGACTGAAAGAAATTAAACTTTTTATCACATACAATATTACAGTGTTAAAATTGCTGATACTTGGATCAAAAGCAAATCTATTTTGTTTGCTACAAAACACAAACAAATTTTGTCTGATTTTTCTCTGAACATCTATATGTCACACTTTTATAAATAAAGGCGTAATTAGAAAACTATATTAAGTGGAAGAGAGTCTAACAATTCATGTAGTTTGCCATTAGATTTTTATCACATATTTTATATTGATTTGTTAATATTCATATGTAAGGTTGAAAAGTCAAACTTAAAATCAATCATCTTATTTCTCTTGTAAGTATAAAATGTTTTCAATAAAATTTACAGAATCTTTGCATTACTTTTGAAGAGAGTTTTAACAATTTTTTAATAAAATTTTAAGTGTATTCATATAAGTTTTATGTCATACAAGATATTAGATGGAAAAAAAATAAAAATATAAAATGTGAATGAATTATGGGCTGTCAATTCAAGCCAACTATTTAAGGGCTACATAAGAACTGTATATAATTAAAAAGTCATACATTTAAAATTACTATAGAAAATAACTACTAAGCCAACAATGGTTTGATAATGATAATGATGTTTTTTTTTTTTAAATCAATTCACATTGAGCAAGGTGACAATGCTACTAAGATGCAAGGGGCCACCGAGAGTGAACGAGAATGAAAAGACTTTAAAAATAACCAGAAACCCAATCCTAAACAGGAAACAAGGGATAAATCTCCAATCATGTAAAACAAAAAAAAAAAAAAAAAAAAATGGGGAGATGTATGAATCGGATGGTAGGTAAAGCTTTCTACTCATCATGCTTCTAATAATTTTAAGTAGATATTTAAGACTAATATGAATATACATTATGTAAATATTAGCTTTAAACTTATAATGCTGATATTATAGAATTCCATAAAGTAAAAAGAAAAAAAAAAAAAAGAATGTAAAAAAGTTTCACCTCGGACATCTGGGCTGAGATAATTTCTAATTTCTTTCAAAATAAACTGGACTTCTTTTTCTGTGGGTTGTGGATAATCAGTCACTTCACATGCATTGTCAGTGGTACCTACATCATGCAAAAATTCAAATATTTCAATAATTGCATTAAATTCTACCATTTTATTTCAATAAAAAAACAAAAAAAAACATGTTAATAAATGATAATATAAAATTTTAAATTCTTTAACAACATTGGAAAATATTAATACCAAAATAAAACCAACCTGCTAAAGTGACTTTCTGCCAGGGCAAGAAAAAGATCACCCTTCCATCACTGGTGGCTGGATCAAGCAAACCCATATTGGAGGGACTAAAAGGAAATGATTGTTGAAAATAAGATAAAATCAAGATATTATTATTATTATTTAAACATAAAGGTAGAATTGGATACTGTGGTGATCCAGAATTACATTTCATAAACAATAGCAAAATGTATTCTGATGAGACAGAAATTTTAAAACCATATTAATAGAAGGCAAATTTGAAAATTGACATGACATTGGAAATCTCAGACAAAAACATTACAACAATATAAACAACTTGAAACCTAAAAACTTTGAACATTACCTACACATGCATTCAATTCAATTCCAAAGCAGATCATCTTCATGAAATATCTTTTTGGTAAATGTAACTGAAATTTAACTTCACAAATGCACTAAGAAACATACCTAATAAAATGTTTTTTTTACCTGTAATAATCTGGTAAAACTATATGAACGCCTGAGCTTGGTTTGCAGATTTTAGGGTTATCTGCATTGGACATGAGCCGGATACTATCTGTATAAGGTCCAGTAGCATTTATCACACACTTTGCTTTAATTGACCATTCTTCTCCTGCATATGAAAAAATATGTAAATAATTTACATAATTAAATTATATATTATCCAACTAAAGTAAATAACAACAAAGAATTTAAATATTAATAATATCTACATTGGTAAATTGTATTAAAAAATTCCTGCACATATCCTTCTACACAGACACACACCTCATAGATTTTGCATAGGACAACAAAATCTACCAATTGTATAATATAAACATAAATCAGAAAGCTAGTGATGAAAAAAGCATTTATTTCACATGAAAGATATTTTTCAACAATCTCCTTTATCAATGCACTTAATTCAGTGTTTAAACATCTAGTTTGAATATATTAGCCTGAGAAGGTGGGCTCTCTAAAAGATTGAAAACAGATTTCAAACTTCCATTGCCTTGCAGCTGTATGCAATCATGGAAAAGGCTTTGAGAGTAAAATCTGGAGTCAAGAGTCCTAAAGGCAATCTATGATGGTTGTTCAAAAAGTTCGAAGCCTCACCAAGAAGAAGTTGGATAAACAAGACAGTTTTTCATTATTTTTCAATATAGCTCCCCACCGCTGACATCAATGCACTTGGTCCGATGATACTTAAGCATTGCAATCTCATCACGAGAAAAGGTGGCATCCTGGTCCTCTAAAAAATCCTCCACAGCAAATATGATCTTATCATTGTTTTCAAAATGGCAACCACACAGGCGGGATTAGAAAACTGGAAGAAGTCGGGTGGAGCTAAGTCAGGTGAGTAACGGGGATGGGAGAGCAATTTAAAGCCACTGTTGGCTGCTTCAGCTATTGCAACCTGAGCAATGTAAATGGGTATGTTATCTTGGAGCAAGAGCACACCTGCCTGCAGCTTCCCTTTGAGTTTCAACTTGATTGCTTCCTTCAGTTGTCTTAATTCTGCTGCATAGTACTCTCCATTAATAGTTTAATTAAAAACTCCCCAAACACAATTTTAGGTTACAGAGCTACTGATTCATCCATGTCTATAGACAATCATATTTCTTATATAATTCACATAATATATGCAACTGAAAAGCTTTTGTTTTATATAACTGGTGTACACAATAAAAATAAAAAAAACTAAGAAATTAAGAGTGAAACATCACAACAGATAATAATTCTCAGTAACACAGCAACATAAAAGAAACTATATATTACTTCTGTTCAATAAGTTGTTACATTTACAAAAGGGAATGCTAAAATGTTCTTCACTCTTTAGTTAGATTTTGGGAAGTAGGTTGGCAATAATCTTTTCAGTAGCGCCCCCCTCCCTTTCTTCATCATGTATGAAATATGTATTCAAATATAACAACTATTATAGGACACTGAGAGCATAACTTAAACAATGTTCAATTTTATTATAATTTTAAAATACAAATAATCATATTTAATACATCTACTTCTCACAATATTACATACCAACTTTTTTCTATTTTATACTTCAAACAAAATGTTCATGAGACATAATTTGGAATTAAAATTAATGAAACTAAAACTATAATTAATATTTCTATCTTATATTGCAAAGAAATCAAAGCAATACTGAATAATTAAATATTTTATAATTTAAACTAACTGCAACACTGAGGCTACGATGTGATTAAATGTTGATTCTGAACAGAAAAGGGTTAAGACCAAAATAAAATGTAGGCTGGAAGATAGAGAGAGTGGAGACATTTTCCTTGGTGAAAATGAAACCATCTGGATTTCTTCTTTTCTAAAGTTTATTTTTCTTATCTATCAAGAGTCTAACAAGCTGACAAAACAGATTTGGAGAATAATTTTATCTCTTCCTTGAGAATTTAGGCAAATAAATACATTTTCATTGATGAAAACAGATTGGGAAAGAAAATAAAGACCGAACCCATTGTGAGGGGCAAGGTTATGAAGATTGATCCTGTTGTGAGAAGCAGGTGATCTGATTTATGTTTTCACTAAACAGCATCAGCCCAGGGATGGAGAACCATTTTATCTCTTCCTTGAGAATTTAGGCCATCAAATATATTTTCCTTAACGAAAATGAATTGGGAAATGAAAACAAGAAACAAACCCTTTTTCTTAGGGTCAAAGTTAGAAAAATAGATCCTGTAATTGCTGAGAGGGTGATCTGGTTTGTGTTTTCCCTGGGCATAAATAAATCCAAGAATGGCAAGATAATTTTATCTCTACCTTAAGGAGGCAGAATTAAAATTAATGATTGGAGTGAGCTACACCCTTTTGCCCACATGATTTAAAAATTACATTTATCACAAAGACAGTTGTTTCAGCACTGAGAGGTGGGCTGAGGTAGAATGCTGAGGAAGAATTTAGTGCTGCTTACATGGTGTGATGGTGCAAGATGTGAAGTGAAGCAGGTTGGAATTAGGGGAGGGGCAATCCTTGTAACTACTCCTGGGGAGGAGGATAATTCTCAAAAGTTGATTAAGAAAACTGAACTAAGAAACAGAACCCTTATTAGAATTAATGTGGAAATTGAAGAATCAACAAATCCCAAGAATTCTTCAGCCCATGCCAGTTTTAGTCCAAAGTGCATATAAGCAGATAGTTGTGAGAGTATGAAAAATTGGGCTGCGAACCCTCTGGAATCCATGTCAGTTGCCACCAGATTTCCTGATTCTGAAGAACTTTTAACCTAAATTATTAGGCAAGTCACACTGTCACTATAGAGATTGATGAGAAAAGGGTTAATTTTTGTTGTACCAAGAACTATATAAACCAAATGAAGATTAACCCCATGAACCTTTCATTACTACAACATTCGATCTTCCACTGCTCTGAGATCAAGAACACAACACGGGCAGAGTTGGTGTAGATCGAAGTGGCCAGCAACCAACAACCAGGCTGGACCAGCATCAGCATTGACTAGCACAGAGTTAGCCCTGTGGTTAAAACGTCATCCTAAGATCCTGAGGACCAGACCACTAAACATGGTTACAACACTAAGTGTAGGCAACAGTAAAAGATATTACATAACAAAAATAAGCTTAAATTACATTGCTTAGGCATTAACATGATTAGAATACTATTAAAACAAACAAAGCTATTTAATAAATGATGAAACTAGCACATTTATATAGCTTAAATTTTTTTTTTAAATTATTGTTTCTTGTGTGTCCTTATTTGACAAGATTTATTTATATAAGTAAACTTAAAACAAATTATCAATACTGAATAATACAATTAAATGTTCAAAATAAAACTACAAATTCCAGTAATATTTTTTTAAAAAATTATAATTTTTTTGAAATTAAAAAACCTCACCAGTCATTAGATCACGAACTTTAGCTCCACAGACTTGTTCTTTTCCATCACTATCAGTTGTTTTCAGTAATTCTTTTACTTCTACATGATTGGCAAGTGAGCCACCCATGCGAATGGCTGTCATGGCAAGTACAATATTCATTCGAGCATCTTCATGTTGACCTGAAGTACAAAAACTCTTCAATAGAAATAGGTTTGGCAAAGCTAAAGATTTTAAAGGCAGCTTCCTATAATCTGGCAAAGTGATAATTAAAATTGCAATTTTGTGTGAACTCTTTGTAATTCAACTATATTAAAAACTGATCATTAGCAAATATTTGCATTAATTTGTACCAATCAATTAAAGAGTTACACTTCAATGCAAAATGAATGGACACTGAAAGAAATCTTCTCTGTCCCATGTATTGCAATGGAAATTTGTGATTGTCTAATGGTTATTGATACAGAAAATGAAATTGGTGAATCAAGTTCAAATACTGATGGAGGCAGTTAATGTTTACTTTAGTACCCTTGAAAAAGGCATGAATCTACTTCTTCCTACACTCCATTCTTTTACCAGTTATCGTGACAAAATGTTTCATTACTGGTATACCACAGTGGTTAACAGACAGAAAACAGTGAGTGACTGAGCATATAGTTTTAGAAAAAATGATTTCTCTGCCTTAATATTTCAGACAGTAGCAGTAAAACAGTTGTTACCTCCTTTATCAACCTTGACAGGGCCCAATAATACATTGCAAATGTTAGATTGATTAATGCTTTGAATACAATGAAAATCCTTAAATTTTGTAATAGATTTCAACAATTTCATAAAACTGCATCATATAAATAGTAATATACTAAAACTTTTGGTACTAGTCATTTTTTAACATATATTATTGGATCAAAATTGTATATATAAAAGTATATATTTCAAACAGGTTTTATTGAAAACAAATGTAAAAACTGACTAGACAAATCATAGCTGAATTCAATAAAATGGTTGAAGGAATTCTTTCTGCCTAAGTATATGTTTTATATATATTTCATACTTTATTATATACAATGTCATTTTAGTGGATACTCATGTTGAGTTGAGACCAATTTTATTGTTATTTTCTTAAACAAGAAGATTAATATCAAACAACTTAGATCAAAAAGTTCTACTAAAGAAAAATAACTTCTCAACTGGAATCAAACCTGTATTCCCTTTTTCCATCAGAGAAACCACAGCTATAACTGGTGTGCCCTTATCTGTTAGGTTACAGGAACAGGAAACTTCCACAAGGTAAGGTTCAATTACCTATTTAGAGAATGTACATGACTATTTTCTTACCCAAAATGCAAACAGTTGTTTTTAAATGGATTTTTTAAATTTTACTATAAACTATATATACTTTATAGGTATTTGATTTAAAAATCACTCTTAAAAGATATTTGAAAAAGATGTACAGATTGATACTTACCATCATAATAGACAAGAGCACCAACTAATTCATGCTTCTTCAACATTGGAAATAATTCTAATGCTTTAGACTTTGATAAAAAATAACTGCTTCTCAATTTCTGTTTGCCAGCAACTAAATCATACATTTTTATACCAACCCAATAATATGGAACTTGCCACCACCTTAAACAGAATAGAAAAATAAACAAATTGGACTCAGAACATCTATCAAAAATAAAAATAATTTATATAAACAGATATAAAATAGCACATTTAGATGAATTTAAAGCAGACAGGATAAATTTTAAATAAGGTATGTAAAACAGATGAAATAAGCATTGTATTTGTTAATTATAACCAATAAAAATGTTTGAGGAACAAAGCAATAAGAAGAGCCTTGTTCATACGAACATTCTATTTAATCAATATCTAATGCTACAAAGATATAGCTACCTTATCAGCAAGACACTTTACACTCAAGTTGAGAGATAAGAATGAAAAATCATCTACTTTATGAGAAATACCAGATTTGGTGACATATGTCCATCATACATAAAAGGTTTTCTTTATTCTTTTGATTGACACACACAAGTTACTCATGTTGAATATTAAATCTGCTTAAAAGAGACAAGCTTCCCAACTTAACAGATTTTATTATATATCTTCCCAAAATTGCTTAAATAATATTACCTAGGTCTTATATACAAAATTGAGGTATTCCCTAGGCTAATGTTTACCTAGTCACCAGAGATTATAAATACTTGTATCCTGGCACACTCTATAATACTGTAATATTAAAAGTAAATAGGCAGGTAGATAGGTATTAAATATGATAAAAGCAGAGAATTAAACATATATGGTATTTAAATATTTTACTGGGTTTCAAAAACAATCTAGTAATTGCAATAAAAGCAGACATATTGAAATCAACAATAACAAAAAAAATGTTATAGCTACCATAAAGAAGTAAAAAAAAAAACATTACATTAATTCAAGTCGATATTAAAAGTAAGTCATAAGCAAATCTATACATTAAAAAAAGTGATTTAAATTGTGACAGAAAATTTGGAATTATAGAGAAATAAAGAATTTGAAGTTGTAGAGAAATCAAATATTTTCAATTTAGAATGGTTTAATAATTGTTGACATGTGACTTCAAAAAGAAATTGAAAGAACTATTGAGAAATAAAAGATCTCTACCAAAAGAAAATTTTTACTAACACTTAGTTTACAGGTGATGTTATTATATAACACACACACCCTACCTTGACTTGACCTCTTTCTGAAAGTAACTGAGACATTGATACAAATTATTAACCCTTACGCCCCTTACTTAAACAATTGCTCTAGCCGTTTCCATAGTAATTTAATTTTAATAATGAATATGCTTATAAAGACAAGTAAACTTCAAGATTAGTTATTCCAAAAATTTCGCTTGAAAATGAAACAGAGCTTAGTACTTTAATTCAATTTAATTCTAATAATTATATTGAAGTTTTCAGCTCTTGTTTTTGAAACATGTATGTAGCAGAGGAATCATATTTTTAAATAAATAATTTTATTTACACTCTACTTTTGTATCGAGCATTGTTTTTTAAAAATAAAAACAAAAATACTAAAGAACTTCGGATTATTTACCTAATGAGTTTTTTCCTATTTTATATATGCAATTTTTATATATATTATTTACATATATATATGTGGTACTTATTGGAAAGTGCTCAATATCATTGATAGAGCTAACATATTTAGTTGGATTGATGTGAGTGTGTGACCCTGGGTTTCACGCTATTTGCAATCATCAGACAATTGTCTGATGATTGCAAATAGCATGAAACCCAGGGACACAAACTCACATCAATCCAACTAAATATGTGTGTGTGTGATAACACTACATATTTTTATATATCAAGAAAGTATTGGGGAAATTGTATGATGAAGTAAAAAAAGTTTACTTGTGACAAGTTTCATCCTTCAGGACTTCATCAAACTATATTTTTTATATTAATATGACTACATATCATATGTGCACGAATGAGGGGTGTTGGGAATCTAAGAATTTAAAAAAAAAGTTTTTTATATCAAGCCAAATTCATTTAGTCTTAATTTCCATCACTTTTGTTAGTAGTTATCCGTGGTTCTTACAACATTTCACCACTCTTGGCAGATTTTCTAATATCAACCTACTAAGAAAAATGATGGAAGAAAAATAAAAAGAGTAAATCAATTCTGCTAGATATTAAAATAAAGCACCACTCATTCATGCACATGTGTAGTTGTATCAATAAAACAAATTTAGTCCAATAAAATCTTGAAGGACGAAGCATGTTACAAGTAAAACTTTTCCACTTTGTCATACAATTTCTTATTAAAAAACATTTTGACTATGTCAAATATATAAGTGATAACTACATTACCAATTGAATTTTGTTTTTATAAGATGTGCTTTATGTGTGTAATGATGATGTGTTTTATTTCACTTACTGAAACCATATTCTGCTACTTCTGACACAAGGACCAATTTAGATAACTGTTACTATAAACACTGAATTCTATAAAAGCAGAAACCACTTGGCAATAGAAAAAGATGAAAGTGATATCCTCATTTTAGCTTCCAAGTTGACTGTGTAGTGTATTAGTGTCAACAGAGATAAAGTTATCTTATTTATACCTTTGAAATGAAGACAAAATTATTCTTGTATTTTTTGCATTTTTAAAAAAATAAATAACATTTCACTCAAAGTTTAATTTGTGATCAATATTACCAAGTTTCACAAATATCTATGTGACTAAGAATATCAACTGTAAACTAAATGTTAGTAATTTCTTTGGTTTAGATATTTGTCTCTTTCTCCAATAATTCAGTCCCTTTTTGAGGTCATTTATCATTGATTAAACACTTTTAAGATGGAAAATATTTGATTTTTCTAAAACTCATCAATTCCATTTTCATCTTGGCACTAATCTATTTTTATTATGCCTCATAGAATATTTTTAGAAACATTCTTGCCTCAAAGCAATTAACACTCCAAGGGTAACACTATAGTTAAGAGGTAGTAAGGGAAAAGAGAAAGAGAGGTATCAGATTTGGAAGCAATGTATTACCATACCTGTATAATGGTAGCATTATAGGAAATGGATAGGCAATATGGGGAGCAATTTGTATAAGGTTGGCTCTTTCTAGTAAGGCTTCTTTCACCATCTTGTACTGAAAGCAGAAAAATAACTATTAGCACATATACACACTTTTTGACAGGTATGTTAATTGAAAAAATATGGTTGCCATAAATCTAAATGATGTTGAAGTAAATAAAAGTAAAATAATATAAGGTAAGAATTTAAGTAAATGTCACAAAATTATTAAAACTAGTAATTATTGGCATAAGATTATATCACAAGAAACAAAACATAATTATCTTCACTATTATTGTGAGTCATAAAGTAAACAATGATTTTTACAAATTTGAATGATTGGTCAGCTTTATCTGATTAAAATAGAAACTCATGATGACACTGGATTTCATAAAGCAAATTTATTTACCATAGCAAAATTACAATTCACTCGAGAATATTTAGGATAGTTAAACTATTTTTCTTAATATTCAAAAGAGGAAAATTGAAATTATTTGATTTTAACAAAAGCAGAATGTTCCTTGATTTTATTTGTACTAAGAAAAACAATTTAGTAATTGCAGATATAACTAATGACAAAGTTATCTATAGATAAATATTCAAAAATATATACAAATTTGTATTTAAAAAAGAGTCAACTGATATGAGCATTATTATAGCATCAGCTTTTAAATAATAGTATCATCTTTTAAATAAATTTGAAAAGCTTATAATTAACATTTAAAGTTGTAGATATATCTAAATTCATTTTTGTATCATTCAATTTCACATATTTGCCAGTTGTCACTGTAATAAAAAATGTAATATAATTTTCATTTAGTTTGTTTTTTATCCCCCCCCCCCCGTGGTTGAGGCAAAAAGCCTCTTTAGTAAACTGTAACTATTACTGTTGAAAGGGGAAAACCAAAAACATTTTTACTTTTTTTTCTTTACATAATTTCTTTAAATACAAAGTAGAAGCAAAACAATATTTTTGAAGATAATCCTGAAATATAATCTGGAAGTATTATTGACTTTGCATAGTTAAATATTAACAAATCAAATTAAATAAACTGTATATTGACTCCTACACAGTATAACAATGTTAGACAAACATTTTTTAATATAAAATCTTAAATGTAGAATGTGTTCAGTTTTTAGACTGCAAATATGAAATTAGCAAATAAATTTTCCATCAATCCATTATTCTATGAGTGTTAAATGCTTAGTGCATTTCTATTTATCTTGAAAAGAATATACAAATATTTCTTTTAATCTTTTAATATTTGTTAGATAACTGTCTAAAATCCTGTAGACAAGTACCTTTTTTATTTAACAACTTTTAAGTGCCATTGTGTCCGTTGTTATAATCTCAAAATCATAATACAAAAGCATTGTAGCTGTGTTATCAACCTACTTAGTCATTTATCATTGGCTTTACAGAAGCAATAACTCATGAAAACTCCACCCATTGCAAGTAAACAAAATTCCAGAACTATGGCCAAGATAATAATGCAACAGAGCATTTATTTTTAAATTTTATTAAGTGCATAAATCAAATTTTGTTGTTTGATGACATTATATTCATTACTAAATGTTCCAATTAATTTTTACTCATTTTACCAAAATCAATAAGTTATAATAAGAGACATTAATAATAATACAAAGGGAAGGTTCAATTATATTGGAATTTTTTGAGCCAAATAGCAAGAAGTAAATAGATATTTTGCAGTGAATATCAACTATTAAATAATTTGCATATATGTAGCAATAGGGTGAGGTCTGCCAAAAGTATATACATAAATTCATAAATAAAGATTGCATAACATACTTATCTAATAATTAAAAGGAACTTCACTTTTAGACATGATTCTCTTCATTCTATTTTTATAAATTTTAATCAAGAGCATACACTGAAATTAACAAAACTGTCAGGATTTATTTCTCAACATGTTTCTAACAATGAACCTATTTTTTCTGAAAGACTTATTTATATTTGAAACGGTTATATCCACCTTAGTTTCTGGCAACTGCTAACAAGATATTGAAAAGCTCTTAAAATGTTAATGTAATTTTTCATCATTACACAAAGTACATGTTAAAAAAAAATCGTTGTCCATATGACAACATCTGAGGAGAAGAAAAAAAAAGAATTGATAGATTAGTTCCTAATTTCATATATATGTATATATATATATATATATATATATAAAGACAAATACATATAGGGCAGGATTATGACCTTTTGGGGCCCTAGACTAATGAAATTTTTTTTTTTTACTCATGATATATTTTAGTGACATTAACATACCTTGAAGCAAATTCTTTAAATAAACTAGAACAGCTATCTTGCTTGTCAATAAAAATATTCTTTAAGAAATACTATTTAACTATTTATTGCAAACCAAATTAGCATATTTCAACAAAGATTTTTATAACCAGCATTATTATTATAACAATAAAACAATTAAAATAAATTTGAGTTTGTTATATTGATATCATTCCAGTTTATGGAGCTGTTTAGAAATTATAACACTTAAAAAATTAAAATAATTGATTTATAAAGGCTTGAGAGGCTGCTGCCTAAAGGATAACCTGGCCCTGTCTGTAACAAAAGGTATAAACTGTATAAAAACAATTACAAAGTAAGTATATGGCTGATAAAAGGATTTATATATATCTTCTAAATTTTAAAATTACAGAAGTTAAGCAATGAGAAGAGTTTTATAAATACATAAAAAATCACAAACAATATAACTTCTTTCCATATTCTAATTTTTAAATCTGTACCATAAAATATTAACATTATAAAATTTTCTTTTTTGCAACTAAATCTTTTAGCATTTATAATTTCTGCAAAATCAAAACTGCATTGGTTTCTTAATGTTTACATAAACTACAATTTATCTTTCAAAAAAGATTTTTAAAAAATATTTGCTTACAAAGAAACAAGGAATAGAGACAAGTAAAAATCTTTCTGTATCATTACTGTAAACATTGTATTTAGTGGCCACATGTGTTTGAACTGAGATCCCAGTTTTTATTTTTATGCTTTTTAAACAGTGAAACTAATCTGCTAGAGACTGAGTCCTGCTAAAGAAAATGTGCCCCCTGCAAGGAATCAAAACATCATTGTTTCTATCAGGCAAACCACTTTTAGGGTAAGTATGCCTTACCAATAAAACCACAAGAAACTATCACAGTAAAACAAGTCACAATTACCATATTTCAGAAATTAACATATATTATTGAGACCTTTCAAAGTATATATCTGCTAATTTTATTTTTGTAAATTTCATTATTTAAAAAAAAGAAAAATTTTATTAATTCCTTTAAAATTACTTTATTTTTATATTTAAAACATAAACAAAGTTAGCACATATAGACTTTGAAATATCAATGAGAGAGTCACATTTCTTAAATAGGGTAACTGAGCCTTACTTTGTCAAGATGGCTTCCTGTGGCCCAATGTGTAAAAACAGTTGCCCCAATTGAAAAAATGTAACATAGGTTTGACTGTTGTTGAGTCATATATCCTGGTAGATATTAATTTCACAGTTTAAATAAATAAATAAATAAAAACAAGGATGTCCACTTAAACATTTATAGTAATAAAAAAAAATATAAAAGTGGACATTGAAGTCAACACCTAGAGGTGACAGTCCATTTCATGCTAAATGCTATCGTGAGGCCATGTGCATTGTGTTTTTGCTAAACTATTTATATATACAGGTCAGTGATGCTTTGTGGGTAGTCTATTGTACTGCATTGCGTGTAGTCTATTGTATTATTCTAATAGTTATTTTGGCGGGCAGTAACAGTCATGTTTCAAATTATTCTAGGGGCTATGTAATAAAAAATGTTGGATTAAAAAACATTGAAAGCATCAGAATATTATGTTAATCATATGTGAGTATCTTGGGGTTTTGTATCAGTCTCTTATTTGCAACATGCCCTTGTTTCAAATATATTTCCCTTTTGAAAGAAATAAAAACTTAATTGTGTAGAAGAACAGATAATATAACAAGAATAAATGTAATAGAATGTGATAAGCAGTATATTTTAAAAATGGTAAGAACTCCTACAGATGGTAGTAAAGAAAAGCAAGATGAAAGGACTCAACATCAATAGTTGTCAGCAAAAGAAACAGCCCAAAATGCAAATTGGAGATACCAAAAGTAAATAAGTGAAAAAATTGAAATATCTAGGAAATGTTTTAACAGAGGATGGAAAATGCAACACCAAAATCCAAAGACGCATTGGGATAGAGAAAGATGCCTTCAAAAGTTAAGCAATGTATAAAAAAGAAAATTTAATTGGAAGATTACTGAACTGTTATGCAAAATCAGTACTCCAATATGAAAGTCAATACTGGACAATCTCATCACAGATGGAGAAGAGACTTGTGGCAGCAGAAATGTGGTTCTACAGAAGGATGATGAGAATACCATGAACTGAACACATGAGCAACCAAGTTTTAGGGAAAATGGAAACAAAACAGACATTTATATGTAGCATCAGAAAAAAAAAACAATTGAAATTTCTAGGGCACATAATGAGGAAAGAGGGATTAAAAAATTTGACACTCACAGGAGATATTGAAGTCAAGAGAGACAAAAGCAGCAAATAACCTATCAGCTTATGCAAATGGTTGGCAGAACAAGGATTAGAAGATAGCAAAAAGACAAACTTTACTAAGGGCTATAAAGGACAGGAAGTTTTGGAGAACCATGATCACATATTTCCTAGGGAGACATGACATATAAAAGAAAAAATATCAAATTTTTTTAAAAGTATAAATATAAAAAGGAAAGAAAGAATTTATATACAGACAGATGATTTAATGTGAGAGAATTTGTACAAAGTGCATGCTGAAAAGTTATCAGCCTAGCCAACCTCTAAAATCTGACCAAAGGACCCAACTTCAGATTTATTTTTTTAATCCCTTCTTGGTCAGACCAAAAACTTTCCAGTACCCTGTCCATCACAGATGTTTATAATAGAAACTTCCCATCAGTGAAAGATATCATTTAACCTTGATGTTGAGTGATCCAGCTTATCTACTGAACATACCAAAAATACCATTGGCCTATCTTTAATGAGGGAAAAAAAATTTTACATCCAAACTATGTATGAATTAACAATTAGTCTGCCAAAGTGATTTAGTCTTTATAATGGTGGACTGTGTTCCTGATGTCAAACAATGCATTTAATACTTTCTCATAATAATAATAAGGCAAACATAATGTTCCAGTGACACCACATTTTTAACTACCTTAACTCTTTGGCAATGTCTATTGTTTTAAAAAGCAATGATTGGAATAAAACCTAAATATATGATGAAAGTGAATTTATACATTTTTTTTTGTTCTTGAGAATTTACAAACAAATATTAAATACTATTTATTAGATTGTTTATTTACAAGAATAATTTTATATTTGCAACATTCTAAAAACTAATACAAATAAAACTAATGCAATGCAATATTTATCATTTATCAATTTATAAAGAAATAAATGTGAAAACGATTTATTTTTTTTAAAACCAGTCATTTTTATACATCTTATTGTGGGCACATTTATCCATGTTTGCCAATAATATGTAGTACAATATGAACTACTTTAACTGTCCTACTGAACTGCCATGAGTTATTTTGGGATCAAGACTAATAGTGCCAGGCAATAAAAGCCTTTTTGTTTGCTATACAAATTGGTTAGTATAAGAAAATAGCCTTGCTTCCTGTCAGCTGTTCTTTCTCCTGTGCATTGGCTACTGATTCTTTTATATAAACATCATTTGAGGATCATTCAGATTCTAGTCGCTGTGTTATTTTAAAGACAGCTTCCTCTTTAGACTTAACATTTGAATAGATAAAGACGTGTATTATTACTTTGGCTCCTGCAAATATCTGATTAACAATGATGATGTAGGCCATTAATCTTACTTCATACAGTATTCAAAGTGCGTTATTCTATTGTATTCTGTTAAACAGGATTAATATAAGGGTTACGAAAATGTTCTTGGCCCACCAAGAAGGAATTCAAAAAGAAATTTAATGTTTAATTAATTGTTCAGATTATAGTTTTTAGGTTATGCTATATTCATGGGTAAAAGTGATCAATATCAGGTATAGTGCATGTATAAATATAAGAGTGGATACTGATGTCAACACCAAATGGCGACAGTCTGTCTGATGTTTAAATGCAATCTTCAGGCCTAAAGATTATGTTTAAGCATGAAAAACTGTTGTCACTGGGTGTTGACCTTAATGTCCACTTTTACATTTACATATGCTCTATACTTGATATTGAGCACTTTTACCTATGAATATAGTATACCATAAACTATATTTTATCATATTATATATAATTATAATATATTACACATACAGTGCTGATGTTAATAAAACAGTGCTCAATATAACAGAGCTATTAAGTATATATTAATAAATATACATACATACATGCACACACACAAAAAAAACACACACATATATTCATATATGTGTGTGTGTGTGTGTGTGTGTGAAATTTTGTGGCAATCAGGGATTGTTGAAAAGTACAAGATGTTGTTTCAAGTGATAAAACATTTGAAATCAAACGGGCATATAAAGCCCAATTTTTCAATTATTCTTTTTGCCAAAAAAATACCATGATAACCTTGATGGGCCAAACAAGTGGTGCAATGACTGGACTACTAGTTGAAACCACCCTCACAGGTTGAAACATTAACAAAGTTAAGGTGATGTAATGTTTTGAGAAAGCAAAGTGGTGGGCTCATGATGAGTTCTGGATAGTGTTATGAAAATTCAGGCATATATTGATTTTTTTTTAAGGTGTTATGGCTCAAGAAAAATGAAACATTTTCAGATGATTTTCATGTACAACAGTGTTACATCATATTCACTGAAGGAAACTAAGAATAACTGAACAAAACAGGTTTTAAAGATACACTTTTTTGATGAAGTGACCAGATTAGAAACTTGTGGAGCATTCTGATGAGGAAGGTTTACATTGGCAGTCAACAATTTACCAAAACCTTAGAAAGCTATTCTGGATGTTGTGCAGAGTATTTCAAAAATTCAACCATTCAGAAAAATTAATGGATGTACAATTTCTAAAACTAGTTTCTGAACATTTCACATTAATGCAGTCTTTGTAATTACCACAACATCATTTAAAATTTTTTGTTCAAAATACGTCTCTGTATATGTTGTACATATTCTCTAATTATAATTTTTAATTCGAACATGTTTCTTGAAGTCTCGGTAAGTTAGATAATAATGTGCAGCTTGCTATGTAATGAAATTATAATTAATAAACAGTTGGCAAATTGTAAAAGTAACATGTAGTCTAGTATAAGTTATTCATATTTTATGAAATATCTTGCACATTAAGAATCCAGTCAGTAGTTTTGTAAAAATAGAAAAAATGAAAGTGAATAATTGTGAGATTGTGTGTATATGTATGAGTGTATTTCTTATTGTTGCAAATATTATGTTTAGTGGGTAGACTTGTTTGAGGAGATCTCCAAGTTTTTTTTTAAGCAAGTGAAATTAATTATCTTCCAGTCTAGAGATAAAGTCATATTAAAGAAAATGTATCTGTTTTGTAGCAATGAAACCTGTATTCCCTCTTTAATCTAGATGTGATTTACCATAATGCTATGACAATCCATTACATCAAAGTGAAATCAATTACCCTATTTAAGAAATGCACATCTTGGTCTGTATCTACTAACTTTATTTTTGTACCCAAAATGTAAACAAAATAATTAATGTACTTTTTAATTAAACATTAGTTCTTATTACTATAAATATCATATTCAGTGAGTATGTGTGTTTGAATAGGCATCACTTGTTTTTTTTTTTTTTAAACTGAAATATCTACCAGTATAGAGAAAGAAAGTTTTATTAAAGTCAATGTGCTTCTTCACAGGAGAAACAGTTTCTTTCAATAGGGACATTAGTTTTTTTATTTTTACATTAAACAAATTCATGCAAGAATTCTAGGTTTTAATCAATTCTAAAAGCAATTAAGGAATGGCTTGTGCAAATCAGCATGACAAGAGATTGCTATGATAATGTAGTAAAATATGTTTAACATAGGAATAAGTTAGTCCAGAATAATAAAAATGTTAATCAAAACATAAATGATTAGAAATTATTTAAATATTTTGAATATTAAAATATAACTGAATGCACTTTACCTGTTCATAATCTAAATTGAATACTGCTTTTTGTAGATAACGAACACCTCCATGAATCAGTTTCGTACTCCTACTGCTGGTACCAGAAGCAAAATCATACTTTTCAACTAGAGCTGTTTTCAGGCCTGGAAAATTGACAACAAATATGGTCAAAATTCACAAATACCCTAACAAAAGATAGAAATAAGAAAAGAGAATAGTTTACATTAAATTAATACTATATTTGTCCCATAACAGTTATGTTTTCTGCAGGAAATGTATCTGCAAATGCAACAACTATTAATGAAACAGAGCTAGCATCTATAAGAAATATGCATGAAAGAATTTCTATTTAATTATCCTAGTCTTTTTTTTTTAACTTTATATTTAGAGATTAACAAATCAGAAATCTTCCATGAAATACATTCATGAGCTAATTGCCAACATGCATTACCACAATACTATATGTGAATCTATTGTAAACCAATATATGTGCAAAAGCGACAGTTAAATTTGTTTTAGTTTATCCATTCAATACATGTGCAAAAGCAACAGTTAAATTTATATTTTAGTTTATCCATCAGCTTTTGAAGTAATACAATAGAGCTACTGTTTCAGCTATATAGTCAGAGTTTAATTTTCAATCTCAGTTTAGTGCTAATTTTAATAAATAAACAGTAAAATATATTAAAAAAATGAAATAAGAGTAAAAGAACAAAATAACTTGTAGGATTTTATCAGGTTAATTTCAAAGAAAATTTATCATTGATCCCACCTTATTTAACTGATCATTAAAAAGAAAATTGTGTGAAACATTTGTTCAAATAGTCTCAACAGTTACACTGATTGTGAAGAAGTCTATTAATATTCACTTAAATCTGCTGTTTAAGATTTGTCTAAGTTCAGTTTTAATTGAAATAAATAATAAAACAATAACATCTGCTAATAACTAAAATTTCAGCAAAAAAAGATTTTGCTTAAATAATACAAGTGCTGTTATTTTATCTAATCTTTTCATTGATGTATAAACTGACACTTAAAATTTAGAGTGATTAATTCAAATGTACAACTATTTGCTTGACAAGTTGACATTCACTCAAAAAAGCAGCACAAGTTTGGATTGTCAAGTAACCTTTTTTGTTCAAAATTCCAATTGCGTTGTGGCATACATATTTTTCCCTTCAATATCTCAATAAACAGCAATATCATTATCTACTATTTACCACATAGGTCAGCAACAAAATCTGTATTTTTTTTTATTTCAATCTGGAATTGATCCAAAAATAATGAGAATAATAATGTGAACAATGAGAAAATAAGAGTTCATACATCATTTCAAAGGTGGCATCATTTTTAAAATATTTTAAATAAAATATATGGAAAGGAGTGAACTCAGTAGCAGAAATTTTAGAAAAATAATATTAAACAAAAGTTCATTTTTCTTGCATCACATCTTTAAAAACATAAAATAATGAGTTTTTTCAAGTATTAATAAGAAAAGAATATGATTTTCAGAAACCAGAAATAGCAAAAAACAAGTATCTTAAGCAATTTTTATCACAAATAAATTTTTTTTTTAATTTTCATTCTCTAATACCAAATTCTTATATATAATACCATAGGAAATGGC